CCCACAATACCATCAACAGCTACTAAAGAGCAGGTTAAAAAAAAAAAAGTGGAAGATAAAGGAAGGAACAGGTAAAGGAAGCTGTCTCCAGGGGATCAAATCTACAGTTTAAGCACATGACTCACAGGAGAGCCTCCCTGTCCCAATTTTTAAAAAATTAAATGGCAGGTAACTAAATTTTAGAGTTAATTCTAATGAAGTCTAATGTCTCCAACTGATATAGGACATTACAATGAGGAATTCGGAGATGATGAGAAACCAGAATGTCTGGAGAGGACAAGAAAGAGGGAAACTGGTGGAGGGGATTCCTGGGAAGTTGAAAGCCTATGACACACTGCTCAGCCAGCCACTGAGCTTCACAGCCACAGACCCAATCCAGTAGGGGCAATGCAGGAAGAACAAGCCATTCTCAGTTATTGTCTAAAAGCACCAAATTCTTAAGCAATTACCTTGTTTACCTTGCATTTTTATACATAAACTGACTGCTTATTTAGAAATATTAATTTTGAGAAACAAAACTTAGATTAAGTTTTACAAAGAGTGATCTATCCAGTAACAGTGAGTTCTCTCTCTGATCTATTACTCAGAGAACAATTGCAGTGACCCACTTTACAACAGAGGAAATCCACTGACAGTTTTGATCTGGCCCCATTGATCAACTGGCACAAGTATGCTGTCAGTGTTACTGAACACGACATCCGGAAAGAATGCTTGAAATGTGACCAACATTTCAGGCCAGGCTATAGAGAGGAAACTAAAAAAAAAAAAAGAAAGAAAAGAAACTGTTGGAGCCTGGACTTGGTTGGGGTATCCTCATCTACAGCAAGCCAGACCAAGACTCTCAGACCAGGCAAAACCTTCAAAATCAACTCAGATTAACCCAAGTTCTGTATTTAAATAAGTTGTTGGTTCAGTTTCTTAAGGTATTTGAAAGGTGATACAGAGATAAATTCTGCTGTTTCTAAGTTTGTTGATTACAGAATTCTAATACTTCCAGGCTATAGATGTAGCTCAGTGGTAAAGTGTATGCTTACCATACATGATGCCCTGGTTTTAAAGCCACATAGTCTTTTTATAACCAACAATTTCAGTTTAAAATGCCCAGATGATTTTATCAATGACTATACTCTGTACTTTTAGAGTCAAATCATTTTTGATATTATACCCAACCACTAGATAGTTATCAAAGCTCCCATTTCCTTCCAATTTATTTCCTCATGCAGATTTAAGTATCTACTCTGTTGGTATTAGGTTGGAACCTAGGGATTTAACAGTGAACATAATATTGCCTACACCTACTATACTTATATATACATGGGACTAAAACTGAAATACATGTATTCTGGCTTCGCGGTGACTATTTGACTTAGATTAGATACACCTTTATTTGACAACTATTAAATGAGAACATACTACACAGCCACTCCTGAACTGATCAGATATGTTTGTCTTAGCCAACATTCTGTTGCTATAACTGAGCACCACAACAGGGTTTATCTCACAGTTCTGAAGCCTGGAGACTGCAGGTGCAGCATGGCAACTGTTTCTAAAGGGCCTTGTTGTTATCAAAAGCTGATGGTATCAATTGCAAAGCAGAGCAAGATGCCAGACAGCTACTTTTATAATAAAGCCAGACCCTCAATATCCCATTAAATTACTAACCCAGTTAGCTATCAAAGATTCCACCTCTCAAAATGCCACACATGCCCGGGGAGCATGTTTCTAACATTTTTTTCTCAGGAAGGCCTGTTTTGTGCTATTTGTTTACAATGTAAAGATATATCTCTGACTAAGGCACCTGATTGGTTTAATGAAGAGCTAAATGACCAGTAGGTAGGCAGGAGAGACTTAGGTGGGACTTCTGGGGCGAATGAGAGAACCCTGGGGAGAAGAGAGGCAGAGAGATGCCAGCAAGAGTCTGAAGAAGTTGGACATACAGTACAGAGCAGAGGTAACCAAGCCACGTGGCAGAATGTAGATTAATAGAGACAGGTTAATATAAATTGTAAGAGCTAGTTGGGAAAAATCCTAAGCTAAGGCCAAGCTTTCATCATTAATAATAAGTGTCCATGTCAGTATTTGTGGGCTGGTGTGATGAAAAAGTACTACAAGGTCCCCAAACGATAGCACCAACATAGAAAATTGTGCCTAAGAATGCTTTTTCTTCCCAGATGCCTTTCTTGCTATCTCCCTTAGTAACATGATAAATTAAAGAGAAAAATGCATATTTCACTAAAGCAGTGAGATTATCTCAAGATTTTTGGTTTTTTATTCATACACAAAAATCACAAAGAAAACCTTTCATCATAGGGCTGTCACACTCCGAAGCAGACCAATCTTGATGGTCATGGGCTCCTCGGGCATTTCGTCTCTATAAAGTGTGGTTTCGGCGGAAAGCTTTTTACTAATAAAAGTGAAGCCTGTGAACAAAGTCCAGAAAAAATGTAATGAAAGCACCCAAGCACATGGTGTTATCTACATTGATTTAACACTCAATCCCATTAAATACATTAAAACAGGTAAATTATATCTCAGAGGAAACATCTGAGTGGAAAATGAACAAAAGAGTCAAATACTAGGCTCCTGCCAAAATGCTAAAGTTCCCTGCTATCTTGGATTTTAGGCAGTAATCAAATGCACATTAACAATTATTTTATGGTAGGGCTTTTGGTTACTTTTGTTCTTTTGAGGTAGGGACTCACTACAGATCCCAGGCTAGCCTGGAACTTACTCTTTAGTTCAGACCGCTTTTGGCTCTAGAGTCTCCTGCCTCAGTTTCCCAAGCCAGATTTACAATTGTGTATCATCACACCCTGTTTGTATCAGTATTTGCTCTATATGCCACGTCAACAAAATATTCAAGTTAGTAGTGTGATTTTTCTCACTAATGTACCTGAAAACGCTTGTAGGGTTTATTTTAGATCCTGTCCTCCCCATGTTTTAAAGGGAAATAAACTCTAAGGAAACTTGGTATAACTCACAGCACCAACTGTCTACTTCATAGAATGTGGGGGCTCTTTGCTACGCTGCAAACAGTAACTGGAGGAATGAATGTTTAATTATTTGCTTGCTAAAATAAAGGTAAATAAGAATAAACCAAGCTGGGTGGTGATGGTGTACACATTTAATCCCAGCATTTGTGAGGCAGAAGCAGGCATATCTCTGAGTTTGAAGTCAGACTGGTATACAGAGCTAGTTCTGGCACTACACAGAGAAACCCTGTCTTGTAAAGCCAATAAATAAATAAATAAATAAATAAATAAATAAACCAAATTATTACCTTCCTTTTCAGCTGTTATGTCCTGCACTAACTCATCTAGGTTTGCTACCTTTTCTTTATGTCCTATGCTTACTGATCTAGGTTTGCTACCTTTTCAGCTGTTGTGTCCTGTGCTGACTTATCTGTTTGTCACTACTAACACATAAAGCTGGCACCACAGCAGTAGAGAAGAAATATTAAATACAAAGGAGTGAATCTACCTTTCCTTCTCCAAAAACAATAAAACAAGCACTAAGCCACAGAAAACAAATGAGAAGGATGTAAGAAAACTTTTCCAACCAGACAACTAAAAACAAACCTCTCATCATCAGTAGCATTTTTACACACAAAAAAATACTGTGTGCATGTGTAGGCTCCTACTGACATCTCACATGGAAAAAAAAAACATCAATCACCGCTAAAGATGTAAAATATATGCATTTGAATTAACATTGCCTCAGCTGAAGCTGACAATTGCCCTTATGTATAAATCCTACACTGTGTCTCACTACCATGTCATCTGATCTTAGAAACTGTCAAAATCCTCACACTTCCCAGTGGAACCAATGGCCAGGGATCCCAATTTGGAAACACAAGTAACCTACTGAAGTCAGTAAAAGACTTAAACAATACATTGAGGAACATATCTGTTCTGTTTTCTGGTGTAGTAGGTTCTCAGCATCTCCAAAGTTCATAAAATAAAGCAAGCAAAGGGTAACCACCTATCAAATAACATTTGTTTCTGGTGAAATTATGCAACCACTGGAGGCACAGAACAAAACTTTACTTAAAATCTAGAAATCCACAATTAACGTTGAAATTTCTGACAATTTTGTCTTGTCTTTCCTTGGTAACAGTGTAATCCCTCCAAGCATGTGGTAACCAGATTCAGGTGTCTGCAATTGTGGTCTCTAAGCAATCCACTGAGAAGTAACAAATCCAAATTAGCTTTTGTTATTCTGCAATATAACTAACATCCAAATAAAATACACAGACAGGTGCAGTCTCTTTGTCTATTTGTGCTGTTATAATGTAACACTTGAAACTGGGTGATCTATGAAAGGAATTCCTCACCTTTCTAGAAAATGCCCATGTTTCTTATCTGGTAAAGGTCAGCCCCTAACAGACAGTGGCCTCCAGGCATCCATGAACTACAGAGTACCATAAAAGGCCTAAAACCAAATCTTTCAGCCCTTTCATGAGGCATATTTCATTTAAAAGGGCAGAGCCCTCATGAGTTAATCTCTTGCCAAATGCCCCACCTAGTGGGAATTAAGTTTCAATTCACGGTTTCTGAAGGGGCATATTTATAACATAACAAGCATTTTACAGCTAAGTCTGGTTAACACATTTTAAAGTATTTGATTCCTGTAGCCAAGATTGAACAGATTAGGAAAATTCAGGACACTAGGTTGGCTACTCTTTAATACAGGCAAGTCTAAGCCAAAAGAATGGATCACAATATATTGCATTTAATTAAAATTGGGTTGGTGAATGACACTTTCCTATTCATTAGCCAATAGGTACAGCTATAATTTACAGGCATCATAATTAGTAATAATAGCAATTTCTTGAATTACTCCACCTTTAAATATATGTGATTGAGATTTACTCTTTGGAATGATAGACTTTACTGTTCATGTAAGAGTTCGGGAAACCTCCCAGGATTCTGGAACATTTTACAAGTGAAAAAAAAAAAAATTGTGTACATTTAAGAAAAGTTCTTAGAGACCTAGCTACTTAAAAAACACTCACCCAGAAAGATGTAAAAGTATACATTTTATTCATTCATTCCATCAGCTGAGAACTGCTATACTGTACAAATACATTATTATACAAAAAAATCACAAAATGTTACAAAATAAAAAAGTACAAACTTCATTACTTAATAAATACACTAAAGGTAGTTAAAAGTGGCAACATACAGATTTTTTTTTTTCTTTTTTGGTTGGAAACACTGTTTGACCCAGCAAACCAAGCTGTTTACATTTTTACATAATAGAAGATAAATTCTAGTTTGTCTTTTGGAAGAACATTAAAATGACAGATTAAGACAGTAGCCTCCTGCTAAAAATAATGACCCTTCTGTCAGACCTGGCTACTTAGGCTCATTTTTTAAAAAATCTTACTTGAAACCAAGAAGCTGTATAATGCAGGAGGCTGGACTTCTCACAAAATTTCATACATGTTACATGTCTTTCCTAGGAAATTGATGAATAAAAAGAAAACATTCAAGAGCAGCAATCTACTCTAGACATCAGAGTACGGATTTATCATTCTGCCACAGCAAATAGCAGACTTCTATTCAAGTAAGGCCTGGTACTGTCCTTTAAAGAAAAAAATATATATCGTCCAAAAGCTATCCCTTTGTTAACTGTCCTCAAAGCGGACTAGTTCTAAAAATATAACATTTTCCTCCAAACAACAAACCTGCTTGTTTCATCAAAATGGAATGGGCTAATCATCTGGTAACATAATGTGTCAAAATATCCATTTGAAATAATTAAGAATTGTGAAACATTTCAACAATGTAAACTAACTACTAAATCACAAACTGAAATAAACTTCATAGAAAGCACTTCTCTGAATTAAGCATAAAAGCCATTTCTCGCAATTGGAACACGTCATAGATGAAAGTACACCCATTTTTAAAAATGTGCAAAAATACATTTTTATAGAAAATAGACTACCAGGAATGCACAAATTCATACCGTGAGACATCAGCTTGCAAATTAAGTAGCGCTCACTTTATACAGCAAATTATAAATAGCAGTAAGCTCACCCAAACCTAGCAGGAAACATCATTCAGGTGCCCAGCAACCTGCTACTCTGAGAAAACATTCAAAAACTGATTAAGGCATTACACCTACAGCCAATCTACTAGGAAGTTTGAAAAGTGCCATTACCCTAATTAGAGTTCGTGTGGTTCTCCCAACAATTTCCCCGGCTTGTCAGGTCCTTAAGACTTTTCAAGAGCATGCATTTTGTTCGATATACATTTTGGACAGGGATATGGCCATGGACTTGGCAAGCTCTTCATCGCGTTTTCTCTGCATTTGGGTTTGCTTGCACCAATTGTCATACTCTGGGTTAGGATAGGAGTGGTCAAAAACAGCATCATAGTGTCCATTGCTGAGCCAACTGAGCCAAATACTAGGCCTTAGAGAATCCTCTGGGCCCAGATAGTGGATCATGGTAGACACGGTGGGGCTCTCCAGCCTCCCTCCAGTAGTTAAGTGTATATTCACATTCAGCATCTGCCCCATGGCCAGCAATTCGGGGTATCCAGCCCAAGCCCCGTCTTGGGCAGCAGCGATAATAAACTCCCCCACGTCACCCTCAATCAGGGGGCTGAAGTGGTCGAGGTGGTCCGCGATGTAGTGCACAGTCTGCTCTCGCAGTTCCCGGTGTAGGCTCTGGTCCCCGTACACAGTCTTACTGACAGCTCGATAGAGGCAGTTGCCGTCCGGGATGAT